GTGCCTCTGAAATTAGCCTCAGGCTGCTTCTCTGTAAAATGGGAGTGATTCCAGCTGTGCCTTGCCCTACAAGCTGTAGTGAGAGCATGTGGGCTGGGGTCTGTGCAGGCCACGTGTAAGCAGTTTTGCTCATGGTCACGGTTAACTAGCATTCTGCAGGGCTTCCTTTCCCTCCCTGGGTTACCTGACAGGATGACCTCTGATGTTACTGCTTCTGGGGGCTGGGGGCTGAGTCCTTCCCGAGTTCCAGGTAATTGCAAGGTGCAGGTGGAGATAGCGGAGCTCTGGGAGATCAGATCAGACATTCAAGGGACGGAGCTTTTCCTCTGTTCCTCAGAGCTGGGCCTTGCCCCACGCGGGTTTGAGAACTCAGAGTGGTGACTGACAGGCCTCTCTCATTAGCACCCTGGGGGACAGGCGCCTTGGCTGCCCGAGGTTCCCCCAGCCCTCACCACCTCTCCCCCAGTCACGTGGGTTGGGTGAGGTTTGTTTCAGCTCAGCAGATTCCTGTTTGTGCTGAGAAAAGGCTCCGAGGTCGGTTGCAGCAAGTGGATTGAGTTGGCGTCCTCGGTGGCAAAGAAGCATCCCCGTGTGCCTGTGCACGTGCCGTTTCCTCCTGTTGGCAAGCCCGTCTCTCTCCACCTCCTTGTCTGTCTGACACGCTCCCCCGATCTGTCCAGCTGCCCTCCTCCCGTCCTCCCAGCACACCGCGCATCTGCTGTGCCCAGCTCCAGGTTTGCACCCGACTCCCGAGGGCACGCAGGTGCCACAGCTTCTGCGTCACATCTGCCCGGATGCCGGCACAGTGCAGGCACACACGGGCCTGCGCGGGATTACCAGCAGGCCTCAGGGTCTCCTGCCTGGGGCCCACCTGCTGGAGCAGGGAATCCTGCGTGGGAGGCGTCATCGGCTCGTAGCATCTCTGCCCCGAAGTCCCCTGCCTTCCTGCCAGATCACCCACGGTCTTTAACCTGCGGACCTGTAAGGCCCAAACTGACCCCCAGGGCTGCAGGTTTTCAACAGGCCACATAAACAGGATGGCTGTTGCACAGTTCTGGGGGGCGCCATGCCTATCACAGCCCACAGGCCTGGTGCCCCCAGGGTTGTGCGAAGCGCAGCCTGTGCTGTCGTGCACAGTGGCCCCAGTGCTGTCTCCCGCACAGTCTCCTCATCCCTCCTCTCCTCCCTGGCCGGAGCTGCCTTTGGGGTCCACGTGTTCACCTCTAAAGATGGAGATGGTTGCAGCGAACCTGCTGGGACAAAGAGCCTTTGAGGGAGCTCCCAGGAATCAGGCCCAAGTGGAGGTGAACTCCGTGTAAATGATCCCAAACATCGCATTCCGTGAAATCCACCTATTAACCGCATGGACATTACGGATCGCCTTGGAGGGGGCAGTACTGTTACCATCCTAGTCACACATGTGTTTGGACCTGTGTTCAAAGGTTCTCCCATTTCCTTAAGCAAAATGGGAGAAGGTCGCCCCAGCACCCCTTGGAAGCCAAGGAGATGAACCCAGGAGGGAAGTGCCAGCTGCAGAGCCGCAAAGTGCGCAGTCAGGAGTGAAGGTGGGACCTTCACGGCAGGGTCCTGTGCAGTAGTCCATCAGGGAAGCAGGACGGAGGGAAGAGGGAAGCGAGGCAGGGTTGGAGAGCGCAAATACAGGGAGCTACCCGATGACTGAGCTGGCCACAGCCTTGCAACAAAACACACATAGGACGTCTCCAGAGAAGCCACGTGGAGTAGTTACACAGGGACAGGAAAGGCAAGCGCTTTATCTGTTGGCTCCATCCGCCTCCTGCCTCTCATTGGTCAAAGTCCACCTCGTGGGGCTTTCACCCCCCACCCTTCCAAGAGTGTGACCTGACCTTTCTCACAACCACTGGCGCGGCCGGCAGTGCGTAGGCCCAGGGGTCTCTCACTGGCAGCCGGCTCCTCTGGTGGCAGTGGCTTTATGACGGAGTCACCGGAGGGGCAGGGTGAACAAACAGGTCTGGAGTGACACGTAAAGTAAGTCCAGTTTCCTGACATCAGCACATGTTGGTGAGGAAGGGCTGAGGGGACTGATGTGCCCATCGAGTATAGCCTCTGTCCCCAGGTGGGCAAGCACATTGGTCTTCCTGTCCGGCAGGAAGTGGTGTCAGCTGTCCCGGTTTTTATCGAGGAACTGATTGTAAGTTGAAACAGGAAGGCTACAACATTCAGCAAAACCCTGATGAGTAGGAACCCAGCTACCTGAAACGCTCATGAATCAGGAATCTGTGTGGCATAACAAAATACTGCAAACTTAGTGGCTGAAAACAACAGACTTTTACCATCACAGTTTCCGGGGGCCAGGAATCTGGGCACACCTTTGCTGCGTCTTCTGCTTAAATCCTCACAAGGCGGCATCAGGGTGTCAGCTGGAGCTGTGGTCTCATCTGAGGCTCAGTTGGAGAAGGACCCCATCCAAGCTCACTCGGGTCGGGTTGGCAGAATTCAGTTCCTTGTGGTCTAGGCCTGAGAGCTTTGGTTTCCTACTGGGCGTTGGTGGGAAAACGTCCTCAGTGACTCGGGGTCACCCAACACGGCCACTTGCCTCCTCTGAGCCAGCAAGGGAGAAAGAGTCCAGCAGGGAGGCAGCTGCAGCTTTATATTATATAACGTGGTCGTGTCCAACCGTCACCCTTGCTTTGCTGTCTCCGTCGGAAGCAGTCACAGGTCCCGCCCACACGCAGGGTAAAAGCACAGGGGACAGAGATGGTGGAACATCTCAGAGTCTGCGCTACGGCACCTCACTTCACAGAACTTCCTCACAGGCAAAAGCAGCAAGTAATTGAATAAAAACCACCACGTGTTTATATCAGGAATTAAGTTTTATTTTTTTTTTAAATTCCATGAGCTGTGCTGAGGCAGCCCACGTCACAGCTCCCGATCTGTGCGGATAGAAGGACGGCCCAGCCCCACGTCCGTGCCCCCCGCCGCAAGTTCTTTGTAAGGCAGAGACGCAGGCCCAGTCAACAGAAAGGGACTCAGAGTCTTATCCAGTTGTCAATATTCAAAAAGCTTGTCAGCATTAAAAAACACGTTTTTCTGCTTGCATATCAACGAATCAGAGCATCCAGTTACCTGGAAAATCCTCGCTCCTGGAACATTCAGGGGGCCTGAGCCGGCTCAAAGAAACAAAAACAGAGATCCCTCGTCCTTCGTGACAGCCGGTCACAGACTGAGCAACTGCTGAAGGAAGGGGCCTTGCTGGGGGCTTGGGCGGGGGCGGTCTCTTCCTAAGGGCCTCTCTCCTTTGCTCCCCACCCGGAGCCCACCCCACCTCACAGAGGCCCAGCCACTGTGTCAGGGTGTAATTGACGCCCCAGAGCAGTCCAGGCTCTGCTGAGCCCATCAAGGCAGGAACAATGAGGTGCACCTCCAAGGCGGGAGGCTATTTCTAAGGCTCATGGTCGACGGACCACACTAGCTGCGATTATCATTTTAATTGCAAGGCCACCATGGCCTCATATTCAGGGTACAGATTTCAAAGACCACAAAACAGTCTGCAGGCTTAAAAGGGGACGGTAGAACGGCCTGTGCTTCAGACTAAAAGGGGCCCGGTACGACATCTTTCTTTCTTGGCCTCTAGGTTGCAATCACACTGTCCCAGAAAGGAGAACTCTGACCCTCTCTTTCAAGGTCAGACTCACATCCCACCTCCTCTGGGACCTTCCCCAAACCCATCTCATTCCCATTCTCTCAAGCACCTCCCCTCCCCCACCCCCACCCCCACCTGGAACCTCCCACGGGTCCTTTCTCCGGTTTGGTAAACAGCACGTGTCTTTGTCTTCTTGTGGTGTTCTGACCTGTTAAAAAAACCTTTGCATTCCGTCTTATGCTCCTGGTGGGGCACGCTGTGTTCCGCAGGGGCAGGAGCCACACCACACTTGGTGGGGGGCTTGGCACTCATCGTACTTGGCACGTTGGTACTCAAACTGTTTCCTCGGTTAACTCTCTCAAGCTCTCCGGAGTGGGATACTCCCACAGCTTCTTTTTTTGCTTGTTTATTTAGGGTTAAACAATATAATTTATATAAAGCCCTTGTATTTGGTACATGGTAAATGCTGAATACACACAAGCTGTTATTATCACAGCTTAGAACCTGTCATTACCAACCTGGGGTTCATGGTTTGACCGTGAACAATGACCAAAGCCAAGATCCATGAGCCTTTTCCAGTGCTGTGTGTTTAAAGACGGGTATATTAAGGGCTGGTGCACACATAGTACAGTCCTTCTCGTGAGTGGACATTCTCCCAGTTTTGACGTACACAGCTGCCACGCCGCTGCTTCCACCGTGAGTTCCAGAACATTATAATAAGGAAAGTCTTCACCTTTCAGTGGCCTCGTGTGCTCTCTGTCATATCCCCGAGCGGCTGCAGGGAAAAATGCCCTTTTTCCACACTCTGGCCAGTCTAGGAGCCGTTTCCCAAGATGGCTTTGACCTTCTGTAGCAGCTCTATCGAGAGAGCAAATCCGGAGTCAGAACAAAGTTTCCCTCTAGGGAGCAGCGCCCGGTGCATGTCTAAGAGGTTTCAGTTGGTTGCAAGAACGTGAGAATATGGTTGGGTCATAAAAACCCATGTGGGTAATCCTGCACTCGGGCAGTGGGCCAGGAAGGCTGATCAGCAGAGCTTTTCTTCTCACACGCATGCTGGGTCCTGCCCCGCAGCCTCAGCCTGTGGTGGGGAGCGTGAGCGGCAGGGCATCAGGGCTCACTGTGGACAGGGACAATGTTCTTATGTCGCAGCAGTTAGTACAACTGACATCGACAGCGGTTTGTTGAGTGACTGAGTGAGTGGTCTCAGGTTGGAGATGGGGTGGGACCGTGTCATCCTGTGGTGGGCTTACCCACAGCTCCTGGGTGTCTGAAGACAGCAGCGAGAAGCCCCCCTCAAGAGGGGCCCTGTCTCTGCTCCGGGGTGGGCCCTTGCCTCCATCCGAGTGACCTCGGCAGCCTCTCGCTTGTGTGCTTCCAGAACTACTTTGAGAGCTACCTTGCCGTCGCCTCCACCGTGCCCTCCGTGCTGTGCCTGCTGGCCAACTTCCTGCTTGTCAACAGGTAGGCCGCCCTCCTCTCAGGCCCCACCCTCACCCCTTGCCTCCGAGATGCCCCCTCATCCACACCTGCTTTCTCTCTGCCTACTTTGATGGTGGCCACCAAAGTAGGAGGCAGGCAGCCCAGACTTGTCCACGAAGATCGAGAGGGCAGACCAGCTGCCTGGGGACATTGCTGTGACATCGTGGCAGCAGCCAGTGGGAGGTGTGTGGGGATCCAGAGGACTTCCTCCCTCCTCTTCTCAGGCGAGCCTGTCTCAGTGGCTGCAAGGCCTGTGGCCCCGAATGGTGGCCTAGTGTTCAGTGCTAAGCTGGTAACACCGGCCGATGTGTCAGCCACTCGCAAAGGAGATCAAGGGGGAGTTTCTGACATTGCATTGGTGAGGGCTAGGAGAGGCTCCATCTGGAGGCACCGTGCATGGAAGGAGTTATTTAGGAGAGGGCCGGGCGAATTAGCATGACCCACAGACCCCACTGGGTGACAGTCACTGGCCATTCTCGATTGGAGTTTATATGGACAACAGTCCTAGCCACTGTGCCTGCACTTCCCCTACACTACTGCTGAGTGGTAACAGCGGTGGTTATGTTATGGTCCAGAAACCTGGCCTCTCCTGGGCATGGCCTATCTCTGATGGCAAATCTATTTTTCCCAGCTCTGGTCCATTTGTAGTGACTGCCAGATCTCTGGTTGAACAGGATTCCAAGGCAGGTTGGGCTTCAGGGAGTGTGCCGTGGTTGATTAGTGATGTCTGTTCTGGGTACAGGAAAAGAGAGGGTGGCACGAGTGTCTTCTGTGTACCAAGTCTGAACAACAGATCAGTCTTTCCAAACATATGCTGTGGGGCTATTCCAGTTATCTGTTGTTAAATAATGTGATCCCAAAGCATAGTGGCTTCAATCGATAGCGATAATTAGTAGTTCTCATGTTCTGGGGGTTATCGAGGCTCAGCTGGCAACTCTGGCTCATTGTGTCTCCTGCAGTTGCAGTCAGACAGCAGCTGGGATTGGAACCTATTTGTCTTCATGTTGTCTCTCTCTCCCCCCCCAACCCTTTTTCTTTCTCTTTTCCCTTTCCTCCTGCTCCCCTCCTAGTCTCCCTGCTGGCCTCAGGGTGATAGGACTGCTCACATAGTGGCTGAAGGGCAAATGCCCCAAGACAGCAGGGAGATGCTGCACTTTTGCCATCCTCGACTGGGCACGGCAGTTACAAAGCCCACTCAGATTCAAGGGGACATGGACTCCACCTCCCGACGCAAAAAGTGTCAAAGGATTTGCACCCTTCTTAAAACCAAAGTGCGGTCTGGAAGAGTGAGGAGAGCGTTGCTCAGATGGGCCTGAGGGCCTTGCAGCCCCTCTTCCAGGCTGCAGACTGCCGGGAAGGAGGGGGTGGTTAAGCAGGGCTGCTCTGTCTCCAGCGAGGCGTGGGCTCCAGGCCAGCTGCCCTCCCGAGGATGGGCGGGGGATGGTTCAGCAGTTATGAGACCATCTCCAGGGGACTAGCCCCCCACCCCCGGCCTGCCCTTGACTCTCCTGGGCTCTAGGGCAGGGGTGAGGGCAGCTTGGGGAAACGCTCCCAGGCCTCCATCTGCTTCCAGGCTGTGGGAAGACGGTTTGGGGCTAAGCTGTTTTTTATTTAATGTGCGAGATTGAAGCATCTCCTTTTCTCCCCTCCTGGAGAACGCTGGTTTTCTCCGACTGGCTCGTCCATAATCGCCAAGTGTTTTATTATGTTAAATCTGCAACATCATAAATACTTATGAGGACGATTTACATTTTGGAGACTTATGAAGAAATCAGTCCCCTGGGGTCCTGCGCCCTCACGAGTAAGGGGGTGGAGGAGCTGACAGCCCCCTCCAAGGATCTTCCTGGGAATGTGACCTGCCCCAGGCTCGGGCCTAGAACTGTCGTCTAGCCGTACCTGTCCCCTGGACCACTCTCCCTGCCTGGATGAGAGAAGCAGAGAGGGAAGCCAGCGTCCCCTGTTAGTGCACCCGGGACAGGCTTGCACCTGGCACATCTCCTGAAGCTTGAGGAGCGTTGGGGACAGCACTGGAACCCAGAGATGGAGGCTCTGGTCAAGAGTGGTTTATGCAGCAGGTAATTAGCAGGCGAGGAGGAGACCCGCACAGGTGAGGGGCCTTGTGGGTACAGAGCCAGTGTTCCAAACTGCACGGCCCTCGGAATGCATGCGGCGTCTGCCTGCGCATCTCCCTCTCCTCCCGCCCTGGGCGGGCCTGAGCGAGAAGTCCCTCAGCTCTCTGCAAGGCCACCTTCCTGTCCAAGCCACTAATCACCTTGTAGTGACAGCACACGGGGGAACTCCTGCTGGACTTCGTCCTTGCCGGCGGATGTCTCCAGCCGCACCGCCCACCACACCGGGGAGGAGGCAAGAAGCGGGCGGCAGCCCCCGCACTGCTGATCCCCTCGCTCGTCTCTTCATACAGCCAGCCAGTATTACCAGGTGCCCGCCAGGCCCTGTGCTGGTGCCAGGGGAGAACAGGCAGGGCCCTGCCCTTGCAGCCAGTGCCAGCGTGTCCTTTGCTGCCTCCTTGCCCCAAGGAACTGGTTAAAACTTTTTGGTATTTGTCCCCAACCTCTCTGTCCACTTGAATTTCTTCAGATTTAGAATTATTAGCTGTCAGGGACCTTAATATAATATTATCTAGTCTAGTCTCTTCTTTTTAGAGATGAGGGAACAGAGGCTCAGAGAGGTTGGATATTTGCCTGGGGTCACACAGCAAATTGATGACAGAGCTGGGCAGGGCTCTGGTCTCCTGACTCAGGCTCTCTGCCCTTTTTGGCTCTTATCTTGGGGGTGGGTGGGGCAGCTCTAGCTGCTAGGAAAAGGCGGGGGACCCTGTGTGACAAGAGTTGAGTGTGTAGGATCACCCCAAGCATCAGGGGTAAGGCTTGACTGCAGGCCTCCAGGGCCCCTGGTGTGCTCTTACAGCTGATGCTGTAGGTCCCCAAGGGTCCAGGCACTCCGCCCGGCTGCCCCCCACCTCCTGCCCAGGCCCGAGGCCCCTGCAGACCCTGAAACAAGGATTCAAATGCAAGTAGTTTATTCAGGAGGTGAAGGTGGGAGAGCACAGAAGGCAGACAGGGAAGAAAAGGCAGCCAGTAGTGGATGCCCTACCAAGCCAGCTACCGCAGAGGGCGACCAGCGCTTAATCCAACCGGGGAACTCTGGGAGCCAGTGTGGACCGCGCAGCCGGTGGGAGGGAGCTGGGGTATGTACCACCCACTTCCCTAGTCGTGCTTGGAGCTGCTCTCAGGAGGTTTACTTACCTGTCACTTCCAGCCTGCTCCATGGACCAGTGTGTCCCGAAGTGGTAAGAGGGAGGACATGTGGACAGGACACCAGCAACATCGCTTTGGTTTCTGACCATGTCGTTCCCCAACTTAAAACCCTGGACACACTTGGTAGCCAACAATAGAGACACAAAAAAGGATTTTCTCATTCGTTAACTGGAAATTAAAGGCCGGTCTGCCTGCAGGCTTCGTTGGGTCTAGAGGAATCTCCTCCTGCCCAGGCTCCGTATGTCTCCACTTGGCTTTACTCTGTGCGCTGCATCACCACACACAGCTGGCACGATGGCAGCTAGCAGCTGCAGACACAATCAAAGCAGAGAGTGCAGCAGTACCAGGGAGACGTACTGGCCCTGTGTGGTCACATGCTAATTCCTTCCTCAAGCCCAGTGGCCTAGAGCATGATGAGCCCAGGCCGGGTCATGTGCCTGTTGTTTGTGCTGTTGGTGTGGGTGATGTGGCCGACCACCTCCCCGGGACCTCCCCAGGGTGGCTGGGATGGAGGAAGGAGTGTTCTCCCAGGGGGAGGGGTGCTGGCAGACAAAGACACACACAACACACCCGGCCCCCTCCAGGACGTGGCTCCACGTCTCTCTCCAGCCTCGTTTCAGCTCCCTGAACATGCCTCACTCTCTCCAAGACACGCGCACTTACGTCCAATGAGCTTCCCTGTCATCCTCATGGTCCAGCTTAGGTGTTGCCTCCAGATAGCCTTCTGCGATGCTCAGGGTGGGTTTTGTGCCCCTCGGATGTGCCTCATGGTGCCCTGTGGCTTCCCGATGGAGCACTGAGCACAGTGACATGAATACCTGTTGCTGCTCTGTCCTGCATCCCTGGCATCCGGCACAGTGCCTGACACACAGGAGTCACCAGCGCGTGTTTGCAGGACGTGCACGCCCTGGAGCACACACGTTGGCAGACTGAGCAGTGGGCTGGGGCTCAGCACCCCTGGGTCCCGCCCCAGCTCCCCACAGACTCACTCTGCAGCCTTGAACTGTCCCTTCTATTCCTCGGGCTCCCTCCGGCCCCTGACACAGCGGTGGCAGCACCTGCTCCCCCTTCAGCCAAGGACCAGACGGAAACTCAAACTAGCCTGGGGCCACCAAAGCACGTTGCAAAAAGCCTTTCTTGCTTTTCATGCTCATCATTTCACACCTACTTATGTACATAGATATTTTCTCTACCTTTCAAGTTTTTCTTTTTCTATCCAAAAGAAAATTTCTGTATACGAAATCTGGCTTTTCCCCAGCCCCCTACCCACTGGTTAGCAGGAAAAGTAACTAAACATCCAGTGCGGTTTAAAGCTTAGTCTAATCTGATGATGTAAACAGCCCCTTGAGATGATGCTCTTGCTCCCTAGAATAAAAATGTGCAGTTTCTCAGCCAGCCTCCTTCCCTGCCTTTCTCTCCAGGCCAGTATGGGGGCTGGGAGAAGTGTATGGCTTATCTGTAGGCATGGGATTGTGGGTGTGGGGGCAGGTCCCCCAGGCCTGGGTGGCACTCAGGCTCAGCTGCTGCCATGACAACTGAGACAGACCATCACAGGAGAGTCACCTGCCCTGGCCACCTGTTCCATGCCACCCACATTTCCTTTATTCCAGAGGAGGCATAGAGCATCATTCTGAGACATCAGACTGGAGCCAGAGCTCCTGGGTTCACAGCTGAGTGACCTTGAGCAAGTTCCTTAACCTCTCTGACCTCAGCTGCCTTATCTGTATACTGGGATAGGTAAGAATACCTATCTTACAGAGGCAGTGTGAGGATTAAACACATTAGCATATAGAGAACACTTAGCAGAGGGCCTAGTGCAAGTTAAATACTGCGCGAGTGTTTGCTGGGATGATGAGGATGTCCTTCTCCCCCAGTGGAAGCTCAGCCCAGTGGCAGGAGAAGCAGGGACTTGCCTCAGAAGTCCTGGCATCCTGTCCTTGAACATCACAGCAAGGTGAAAAGCAGTGTCGTCCACTGAGCGCTGGCCCTGACCCAGGCACTGCTTTCTGCACCCCCGACTACTCACCTCCCCAGAGCCCCACCCCGCTCCCTGTGGTACAGGTGCCGAAGCTAAAACCAGAGCGGTGCAGTCACTTCCCCAAGGCCGCACAGCCAGTGAGCCGGGAGGGCAGGATTCAAGCGCAGGCCTCCCAGCCACTGAGCTCCCCTGCTTCCCTTAAAGTGGTTCACCAGCCCGGCCCTGCATGGGGGGGCCCCGAGGGGGTGTCTAACTACTTCTGGCATCTTCGCCCCAGGGTTTCCGTCTATGTGCGAGTCCTGGCCTCCCTGACCATCATCCTGGCCATCTTCATGGTGATGATCCTGCTGGTGAAGGTGGACACCTCCTCCTGGACCCACGGCTTCTTTGCGATCACCATTGTCTGCATGGTGATCATGAGCAGTGCCTCTACCGTCTTCAGCAGCAGCATCTACGGCATGACGGGCTCCTTCCCTATGAGGAATTCCCAGGCGCTGTTATCAGGTGAGAGCCAGGGCCTGCCACCTGGGGTCACGCAGAGGAGCCAGAGGTGAGCGTGTGGTGGCTCTTCCGGAAGAGGAGATGATGTGTGTGCTGAGTGGGTTTCAGCCATCTGTCATTGTGTGACAAGCCACCCCCAAACTTGGTGGCTTAGAACAATAGCAGTCATCATATTACTCACAATTTGCAGCTTGGACAGGAGTTGGTGGGGACAGCTCTTCTCTGTTCCACGTGGTGTGAGCCGGCGCAGCTCAACTTGGGGCTGGAGGATCCACTTGCAAGACAGTGTGCTCTCCCGGAGTGCTGGAAGCCCAGCCAGGGCTGGGGCCAGGGGCCAAGGTTCCTCCCCCACAGACCTCACCATGCATCTTGGGCATCCTCGTGGGGTGGCATGTGGCCTGCAAGAGCGAGCATCTCAAGAGATACAGCCAGCAGCTTTATTTCTGATTAGTGACAGAAGCCACATGGGGTCACTTCCACCATAGCCGTAAGCTCACCTGGACTCAAGACAGATGCACACATCTCGGTGGGAGACTGCGACAGTCGTGCTGTAAGAAAAGCAGGCAGGAGGGGAGACGTAGTCGCAGCCATGTTTGCAAACATGGTCTGCCCAGAGTGCAGTGCCTGGAACCGGCCGCCCTTCCCGCCTTCTCCCCATGGCCGCTTCTCCTGGTCCTCTTCTCTGCTCTGTCTCTTTCCTTCCCCTTATCTTTTCTCCCCTTCTTTTCCCCTTTCCTTCCTTCCTTCTGTCTTTTCTTCCTTGCCGATTTTATAGAGGACCTGCTATGTTCCAGAGATTCAAAGATGAACAAGACTCTGTCCTCTCGGAGCCGATAGCCTAGTGACTGGACTCCTCAGTCCCCCGAACTTTGGCACTCCATGGGCGTGCTGTGCATGACGCGGGCTGACAGCCGCCAGCTGACGTTTGGGTGCTGGTCCGACGAGTCTGTTACGGGGAGGCCTTGGCAGTGTTCTCTGAGCTGGAGAAGCACATGTCTCTCACCCTGAGGGCCCTGCAGGGCGAGAAGCAGCCGGGTCAGTAGATAAGCGGGTGCTTTCCCAGAGAGCACGCCCCCCGAAGCCAGACTGGAGGCTCAGCTGCTCTCCCTGTGTCCCTGTTGTGCAGAGGAGGGCCCTAAACATTTGCCCACTCGGGAGGAATTTCACAAAGAACCTGCGCTGTGCCAGTTAGTTAAGAACGCCAAGTAGTATGTGGCCGGGATGACGAATACCTTAACAGGGGTGTATCCCTTCCCCACTCGCCCGACGTCACTAACAGATCCCTATCGTCCCTCCTGAGCCTCTAAATCCTTCTCAGCACAGCACTTGAGGCAAGTGCTGTCAACGGATCAGAGTCTAGATGTGAGCTTCAATCTGTTTGCCATTTTTGATATAGGATTAGGCTTCTGGCTCTATCCTGGGAAGGCCTTGGGCCTAAAACAAAATGAGATGAAAATGCACTCATTGCTCCGTTTCCTGAGTAAGGTCAACATGCCCCTAGCAATGCTTCAAGAAGGGCCACCGCAGGTTGGATTTAATCCTTCTGTCACCCCTGGCCTCAGAAAGAGGTTCTGACCCCTCATCTCCCTCCAGCCTGCTGGCGGAGGATTTTTCAACACAACTCCAGCCTTGCTGGCCACCCCTCCAGGAGCCAGTGACAGACACACCATGTGTGTTGGCAGGTGGCTCTCGGGTCCATCTGGCCACCTGTGGATCTTCCAGGGAAGGGGAGTCTCCTGTGAATTTTTCAGAAAGTCCATTTTTGAAAAGACGGGGAAATTTAGTACTTATGCTCCGATACGAATGTCCCTGGGCCCTAAACCATTGTCACCCTTGCGCAAAGCCCCCATGGGTGCCCAGCGCCACCTTTCCAGCCCCTCTTGTTCGTTGTCCAGAGGAGCCCATCTGTGAATTCTGTGTGTGCTGGCAGCAGAGGAACAATTCATTCATTTGGTGCTGATGTTTTTTTAAACCCCTCATTTGCATGTATTTCCATAACTGATGAGATAAAAGTAGGGAGTCGTGAAGGATGAGCTCCTGGAGGCCTGGCTTGTTGCTGATGATAATGTTGTAAATTCTCTGCAAGTCGGAAGGAGAGAGAGGAAATCAATAGGCAGTGACGTTAAGATGTTAAGATCTCCCCCTCCGGGCGGCTGAGTTTAACCCCAGTTCTTACAAACCGTCCAGGTGGGGATTACAGCTTCTCAGAAGTGGGCACCCTCTTGGCAAAGGGTTTACCCCGTTGCTGTTGCTTTGATGTGGGGAGGACAGAAATAGCCAGATACCTAACTGGGAATCAGAGTGGATTTGTTTTGTATTTGGCACTTCTCTGCACCAGGCACTTTTCTGAGTGCTTTGCATGTAATAATCCTTTTAATCTTCATAACAGCCCTAAGAGGTGGGGTTTAATATCTTCATTGTATAGATGAGGAAACAGAGGGACGGAGAAGTTAAGGGACTTGCCGAGGGTCACACAGCTAGAAGTGGTAGAACTGGGATGGACGTTCTGATTCTAGAGTTCTTAATCACTATGCTAATTTTCACACCCTTGCACTTCCTCAGGTCTCACTCTCTAGCCTCTCCCGGGCTAACAGAACTTATGTTGGGAAGGTTGGGGGAAGGATCGACCATCAGGACCAAGGGCTGTTCCCTGCAGAGCCACAGAGATGTCAGGCGGAGCATGGGGATGTCACACAGTGATGGTGCACCAGGGTGGACGGGGCCTGAACCGTCCCTCTCCCACTCTGCCCCGTGCCACAGTGAGCGGGGGAGCGGTGCCGGTTGGGAGCCGCCCGGAGGACAGAGCAGGCCATGCCACGTGCACCAGCGTGCTGTTTGCTGCCGCAGTCAGCCTTCCTCCGGCCTCGCTGGGAACGGATATTCTCATACTCTGAGGTGGGCAAATTCGTCCAGCCAGTCAATCCAGCATCTCCGCCAGGCCCCGCCCGTATGGATGCGAACGGTCCTGGCCTGCAGCAGTGACCTTCCACTCATCGTCCCTTTCCACCGCAGTGTGGTTTCAGGTGACGGGCGGGACGAGTGTTAGCCCCAGTTTCCAGGCAAACAAACACAGGCAGAGGAGAGTAAGTGATTCGGCCACACTCATCGCAGCACTCCCAAGCCACTGCCCTCCGTTAGGTAGCAGGGAGAGGTGTGGCCACACCGTCACATGGGGTAAGTGTGTCAAAGCCCTTGGCAAGAACATGCCGTGTGGCAGGGTGGCTGCATGCTCGTATGTGTGTGAGTGTATGTAGGTGTGTGGTTGCATGTATGTGTGAGTACCGTGCCTGTGCACGTGTATTCACATGTGCATAGTGCCACAGCGGCCTAGGGGTGCAGGATAAGTTCCATGAGCTCATGGGAGGGTAATGCAATGGGAGTTTGTAGCCAATGAGGGCCTCCCCAGAAAGGACAGCCTCAGGGGCAGCGAGTGAACCTTTGCTAGAACATTCCCTGATTGGTGGGTGCTTTTGGCCAACCGCAGAGAAGAGGAAATCCAGAGCTCTTTGACATCTCCCACCCCTAAATCTAAAATTTCAGACCCCACTAGAAGGACAGTAAAGGTCAAGGGTCAGCCAGGGTAGCTCACGCCTGTAACCCTAGCACTCTGGGAGGCCGAGGCAGGAGGATCGCTTGAGCTCATGAGTTCAAGACCAGCCTGAGCAAGAGTGTGACCCCATCTCTACAAAAAATAGAAAAATTAGCCAGGCATGATGGCCTGTAGTTCCAGCCACTCGGGAGGCTGAGGCAGGAGGTTGAGCCCAGGAGTTTGAGGTTGCTGTGAGCTATGATGACGCCACTACACTGTAGCCAGTGTGATAGAGGAAGACCCTGTTGCAAAAAAAAAAAGATCAAGGTTCGGAGGTGAACCTAGGAAGGGAAGCAGACTGGTGGGGCCCTCCTGGAGGCTGGGAGCCACCCCAGGAGCAGCCTCTTAGAGAGTCGGGCAGAGGGAGAGGGAAACCTGCACTCCGGGAGACGCTGCGGGATGCCTCCCCATCTCCACGGCTTAGGGGTGCTGTGGGAACTATGCATTTTTCACATCAGGAAATTTTTATTTCCATCTGTTAAACCCAAACAGAGAGCGACCACGGCCACCCACCTCCTCTCCCACCCCTCACCGTCTGTGCCTTGTCCTCTGCTCTCTGTAGGAGGAGCCATGGGTGGGACCGTCTGCGCCGTGGCCTCGCTGGTGGACATGGCAGCATCCAGTGACGTGAGTGACAGCGCCCTGGCCTTCTTCCTGACGGCTGTCATCTTCCTTGGGCTCTGCATGGGGCTGTACCTGCTGCTGCCCAGGCTGGAGTACGCCAGGTGAAGGGCCCGCCGCGCGCTGTCCGCCCGTCCTTCTCTCGTGTGCAGTTAGAGCTGTGCCATCTCCACCCGCACCCTCCTACCATCTAATCAGGCCCTGTGCTGGTGTCCTTGTCTGTGGCCCGTCTCCCGCTGGAGGATGCGTGCCACGAGAGCAGACCCTTGTGAGAGCTTTGCTCGCCGCTGGACCCCAGGGCCTCGAGCTGTGCCTGGCTCGTAGCGGTTGCTCAACAAATTGGCCTGGCCAGTGGCCCCGAGAAGCTGGCTCCATGCTGTGCCCCCGAAGCAGTTGAAGCCTGCAAATTTGGGGACAGGGAAGGCAGGCGGTAGAAGTGGGGCCTGAGGAACAGTAGTAATGAACAATAGTAAGAGTTCCCGTCACGGAGCAGCCCCACCCCAGCATTCGCTCCTGCATCCCATCCAAGGCTCACGCTCCCCCGTTCCCCTTAGGGGACAGCTCTGTTATTTATTATTTCCATGCACAGCTTAGAACACCAGGGTTCAGAGGGGTTAAATTACTTGCCTGAGTTGCAGCCAGTAGGAAGCAGAGCCAGGATTTGACCGTGACCCCAAACTTGTGCTTTTACCCACCCACTGCCTTATGGGCCTTCTTTCTGCCGCCGGGGCCTCTTTTCTTACGTTGAGTCTCTCTTTTGCTTTCTCTCCCCAGTTCCTCTTTCTCGTTGCTCTTTATAAACACGTCCCTTGACTTTCTCTGCTGTTTCTTTCTTTGCAAAGCATTTTCCTGTCCATTATCTTATTTGATGTAGGTAGAGCAGGCGTTACTGTCCCCATGTTGTGGGTGAGGAAACTGAGACCGAGAGCAGGCGCAGGGACTCCCCGTGGTCCCACGGTGTGTGAGCCGCAGAGCTGGGCAGGGACCTGCTCTGGACTCTGCCCTGTTCCGGGGCACCTGGGTTGTGCGGTGGCTCTGAGCTAAGCAGTTTACCTGTGTATTCTTGGCTCATTATTTATGGCAACTTGTGCAGTTGTTATTGCGTTTCCCACTTTACAGAAGAGAGTGCAGCTTAGGGGAGTTCACAGATGTGTCTGAGATCACTCACCTGGTGAATCACAGGCAGGGATTTGAACTCAGAGCTGCCTCTTCCCAGCAGATCATGCTGCTTCCCTGGCTCATGACGGCGAGGCCCTTTCCTCATCATTCACTCCTCCTGTCCCTGTGAGGAGTCACCTCCCTGAGCCCCAGGACCCCGATTCCCGGGGTGGGTTACTTTCCCCAGTTGTAGGATTGTCCATCACTTCAGCTGGCCGCAGCAGCTTCGGGGCTGTCATCAGAAATTGTCCAGCTGTGGCTTCACACTGACATCCCCGCGATTCCTGGGCTCTGCCTGGCTCGCTGTGCCCCCAAGCACCCTGGACACTGCCTGGCGCCTTGTCATTACTTATTAAATTATTTTTGAGCTGGACACAGTGGTGCGTGCCTGTAGTCCCAGCTACTCGGGAGGCTGAGGCAGGAGTTCAAGGCTGTAGTGAGCTATGACTGCACCTGTGCATACCCCCCGCACTCCAGCCTGGGCAACATAGTGAGACCCCACCTCTAAGAATAAAAAAATAAAATAAAAATTATTTTTGAAACAGTGAATGAGCAGAGAGGCAGGAGGGTCCCCCGCTCCTTGTGCAGTTTCACTGTGTCCTATTTCACAGTGATTTGGGTGGGTCTGTTTCCAGTAGGGGGGCCAACCTTCCCTGTTTGCCTGGAATGGAAGGAGCTCCCAGAACAAAGGACTTTTAGTACTAAAACCAGGACACTCTCAGGCAGACCGGGACGGTCAGTCACCCTAGTTTCTGGTCTCATTTGGTTGGGCCAAAGTCCTTTCCAGCCAACATGTGAGACCAAGAACACCCAGGGCTATGCTGTCCCGTGGAAATTTCCGTTTCTTTGCTGATTGAAACTTAGGCCAAGATTTCTCAATTTATAGACGCTCATCTGAGGATGGAGCTCCTGGAGAAAGCTCGGCCCCGAGGGCTGCCCAGACTAAATCTTACATAAAAGGCTGCACTTGGTGCTGTACTTGGAGGGGTGAGATGAGGCAGTAAGATTTGGAAGAACTTAGGAGGAAGAGCTTCGACCGGAGAAACTTGGTGGGGAGCTTCTCAGAGCAGACTTAGGACAAGGACCTAACTCTGAGTGGAGAGGGAAGTAAGAAGATTCCTCTCCCTAGATGGTAATTGTGAAACCAGACAGGATTCAAGGCCAAAGCACCCCATGCTGCATCTTGCAGAAGAGCCATTCTGCTGTCTGTCAGCTCTTAGGATGGGAGGGCTGGCAGGAGCTCCAAAACCCCATGGCCCTGTCAAACCTCCCTTTCAGAGAAGAGGGATGAAGCCCAGAGAGGAGCATACCCGGCCCAAGGTCACACAGGGAGGCAGAGGCAAGGCTGAAACCAGAACCCAGCTGTCACCAAGCTACTATTTCCCTACACGCACACACACCAAGTCCTTCCATGTGAGCTGTTAATACAGTGAGCCTGTGTCTCTTGGTTGTCAGATCCTTGAGGCCCAGAGAGGTTGAGTGGCTCAGAAAAGGTCACACAGCAAGGCAGAGTGATCCACACTTTCTCACTGGTCAGAGTAGCAGAAGGTGAAAAGATTCATGATGTTCAGTGTTGAAGATGTGGACAGAGGACACTTTTATAGGTTATTTATCAGTTCTTTCAGCAATTGTGTTTTGAAGAGCTACTCTGTGCCTGGGGATTTAGCTAGAAATAATCAAACGTGGACCTTGCCCCAGGGACCTGTCTTCTGTCAAAGGAAACAGGTGACAAACTAGTAAACCAATGCAATGATTGTAGATTGGAGTCAGGTTTGGAAAGAAACAAGTGCTCTCATGGAGATTAACAGAGCAGGCGGGTTATTCATTTGGGGTGTGTGAGTGGTCTGGAGCAGAGATAAATTGGTAGTACCTATTTGGAGAGAAGTTTCTCAATATCTATCCAAATTTTAAAGCTGCAAACCTTTTAACCCAGCAATTTCCTCTTCTAGAAATCTGTCCTCCCGAAATACTAGTGTGCGTGTGCAAGGATTTATGCATGGGGATATTCATTTGTAGTAGTGAAACACATCACATTATCTGTAGTAGCGAAAAGTTGGAGCCAACCTAAATGTCTATCATTAGGGGAGCAGTTTAATTGCGTATCCAGACAGGGAACTGTCATGCACAATACAGCAGAGGGACAGAGCCATATATGTTCCTGTGCGAAAGGATGGCCACGAAATAATTGTTCTTTAGGCAATTCTGTGTGTGCATTTACATATAATAGTTATGCCATGTTTTAGACTTATATAAGGTATGTATATACGTATTCTTTATATATGTAGGCATTATGTTATTCAGGAAGTTTTATAACATGTATAGTTTGATCCCATTTTTGCTTAAGAAATATAATTGTAGGCCGGGTGTGGTGGCTCATGCCTATAATCCCAGCACTCTGGGAGGCCGAGGCCATTGGATCGTTTGAGGTCAGGAGTTCAAGACCAGCCTGAGCAAGAGCGAGACCCCGTCTCTACTAAAAATAGAAAGAAATTAGCTGGACAACTAAAAATAC